TGCTTCTCGGAGAAAATAGAAAATATGAACTTCAGGCTGAACATCAGAAAGGCTAGTTTTTTTAGTATCATTCTGCTCTGGTAGGTTGTTTGCCGTCACTGCAAAACTTGAAAGAATTATTTTGGTGATGCCCCCTTTACACCCAATATTTTTTTGCCTGCATGGCCCCCATTTAAGCCATATTTTTGGCACCCCCCCTCCCCCCCCCCGCCTCAAATCCCACCAGCCCCCCTACCTGATAAAAAAATGAACGGTCGCTTGATAGGGTAAAAATGATTGATGTTGCTAGTTTTAACAAGGCATTGAAATGGGCAGGACAGAAGCAATTTAGATGATAAAGGTACAGGGGAGGCTTAGTCTGCTACATAGCCGTTTTTAGTGTCATAACGCAATGCCCCTCCCCACGAACTCGTGGGGAGGAGCGTTGCGTGATGACACTAAAAATGGCTGTGTAGCAGACTAGGGAAGGCTAAGTCTGTTTTTAATCATCGAGTAGCGAAGCTTGGTGGGAAATTTAGACAAATTAGTTTTCTCAAATCTAAGTTCTAAAGACGTTCCTTTGCATAATCTAGAAGAGTCATTTTTGACCGAGATTATGGAATATTGGACCACATTAAATCATCAAAACAACTTAGATTTCACATCCTCCTAGATATGGTACAACTAAACCAATCTTCTGTAATCTTGGTTCACCACAGAAGCGAAGGATTTGATAATATGTTAAATAAACAAGTAAAGGCTTTCAGACAATAATTTTTTAATTTTAGTAGTACTATTAAACTTTTTTTGAAACATTTTATACATATGAATACCCAAACTTTGCCAGTTAACAAGGTATGACAAGACGGCATTCAGTTCTAAATTCAATTTTAAGACTAACTTCCTAGAATACTTTAAGCCTAGATGACATTTCCCAATGCATTATGCAAAACACCCTTCTTGCCACGCCCATCTGTCTTGGACTAATAATGATAGTATTTTTGATCTATTTTGATCCTTTGAACACATGCTCCTTTGAAACCAAACGGAACCCAGGGTAGGGGACTCCCTCATAATGCAGTGTTTTGATGGTGCCAGAAAAAATTAGCAATATTATGGCTTTCATTTTATTAAAAAAAAAAAAAATTGAAAATGCCAATGAAATTTATTGTCTCCTGCAACACTGAGTAAGCCATAACATTATCTTTCTTAGTTGTTTCACTTTCTACATATTCACTGGTCCGAACTGTCTTGAGAGTGAAGTAAATAATACATAATGAAAAAATTTCTAACTTAGATTTCCATTTCACTACAGAGCAATATGTTACCTACTTTTCTTTCTCTTTTCTTCTAAAAAATGTATAAATTATGTTGTAGTTAATTTATCTCAGGTAATTTTTATTTCTCTTTGTTTCATTTTCATTAGCATATATTACCATACCCAAAAACAAAAGATAAACAAAAATTACCTGAGATAAAAAAATAACTACAACATATACATTGTTTACTGGTATTAGGGTATTCATGTTTTTAACATAACAACTTTGACACTATGCTATTCATAAATTTGTAGGTGAATTATTCTTATGCAAGATATATCCTGCATCATAGTGACAATGATTGTGTTAACAAATGCTATTCACCTCTCTGAAAGTACAGTTGTTATCTGTCTTTCCAAAATAACGTGACTGGCACAAAATCTTTACGGGAGTTTATTTTTGCAGATTGGCGATTTTTTGTGTTTTGCTGCAACTAATTTTTGAGTCACAGATTGGTTTTTCTTGCTGTGAATTAATTTTTGCTATTTTAAATAAGCTCCAGACAAATCATATTTTCATGTTTATTGAGTACGTGAAATGGATAATACATGTTTTCAAGCAATACTATGGTGTGCTTACCCTATGTAAAACCAGTAAACCAGATTACTTTTCTTTGTCATATGATTACAACATCTGTGGTGACTGATTGTTCTTCTGATCAATCAGAAGTGATCTCATTATCAGCTGATGCATCGTGTCGCCTACCAAATATAGTGAATTTAATTTAAAGTAAATTTTTGCCGGAAAAATATTTGTGGTAACATTTTTGGCAGGAAATTTTTTTGCAGATTTTAGAGAAATTAGAACCCGCCTAAATTTTGTGCCATACGATAGTCTTGCCAACAAAAGCTAATTTTGTTCTGGCATTAAGAGCCGTCTACTGTGATACAAGAAGTTCATACGATGAGCTCTTGAGAAAAGCTAAACTCACGACACTAGGCTGTCGCCGATTGCAGGATATAGCCATAATTATGTATAAGGCAAAATACAATATATGCCCTCCGTACATAAAGGACATTTTTAAGCTAGATAAACCTCGCTATGGGCTCAGAAATTCTAGTGACTTTTTTATTCCTTGATACAACACAACAACTTACGGGAGACATAGCCAGTAAAGATACGTGGGCCCAGTAATATGGTCTAAACTAAGCGAGGATGTAAAAAATGCAGAATCAATTTACAGCTTTAAAAAGAAAATTCGTAAGGTAGATCTTGAACTAGTAATCACAGAGGGCTGTAAAACTGCTTTCTATGTTGTACATAAATGACATTTTCTAGACAAAAAGGACACCTCTTAATCAATAAGTATTATTTTATATCATTTAGGATTTAGGATGTATATTTTTGTAAATTTTATTCTTTGCAAATATTTTTTTATATATTAACTAGAGAGGATAGTATTTTAATTTAGTGTCTCCTATTAGTAGGCTTTACATGGCCAGCTAGAAGACCTGACACTGAAGTCAAGTTTATCATCACCATCATCATCATACATCACCATGAAAACAAGTGCAGGATTGTTTTGTTTTTTAAAAAATAAATCCTCACAAACATGACTTACAATAATAGTATAACTCATGCCTAGCTCGCTGACGTTACTTTCCCATACAAAATCCTTACAGTGACATTTGTTTGTTGAGTCAAAGCAAGAGACCAGAAATCCATGACATCAAAGCATGTAGCAATAATTACTACCGGTACACTCATTTAACGGTAGGTGAGCATTTCTACATATCCATTTCCATCATCAACCTCAAAACAAACAAGCAAACTCTTGAAATTCTTAGTAAAAGCTATGTCTGCGGGTTTGTTCTCTGTTTCAAAACAATGTAGTCGCTGTCCAGCTTTGCTGTAAATGTGAACTGTTAAAGTATCAGTGTCAGTTACTGCAAGGGTGCCATTGCGATGATCAGCAGCAATACTAGATGGTGATTTCAGCTGTTTGTCCTCAAACATGTTTATAAAAGAACCAGTTTTGTCAAAAACTATGACTCTACCACCACAGCGACCTGAGTCTATGACATAGAATCTGCCATTCAGGAACACTGCTTTTTCAGGACAGCCAAGGTGTTCTTCACCAAATGACATGGTAAGTTTTCCAGATGGTCTGTAAACAAGGACACAAGGCATAGCATCATTCCCTTTTTCATCCTTACAGTATGGGTACGAAGTGATTATGAAACGACCATGACGGTCAACTGTACATGACGTAAACTTCACATTTTCCTTAGGAGCAGACACAATCTTTTTCTGAAAATTTCCATTCATGTCATAATGTAACAGACAATTTTTATCACGATTCAAAACAACTATCTCATCCTCATTTGAAACAACAATATCCCAAAGATCACCATGATTAACATGAAACTTGTTTAACTTTTTCCCTGCCTTAGTAAAGGTATGCACAAACTTTGCATCCTCATCCAGTACCACGATGACACCACAATCTCTGGAAGCTGCCACCGAAAAGGCATCAAAATGAGAAGAACTCCCTATGCGTTGAATCAAGGATCCACATTTCGAATAATCTTTCG